TAAGGAACATGCTAGGCTACCAATAGATGAAATCAATAGATATGCACACAATTTTAATTAATTAATACAATGATGTAACTATTTTCATTGAAATATTTTGTTACATATAATTAGGGTGGAACTATTATGTGTGCATGCCAATGAAAAGTAATTTTTTGATCTTTGATATTTTTCCATATAAGAACAACTTTGAATTCATTTTTCAGYCTAAATATATGGTACTTTTGATTTCCTAAAATCAGGCCTTATACGCGGATTTTTACTGTATATCAAGCATGTGTAGAAAAAATCATTCAAGGGAGCATCGAGGGAAAGAAAGACAGGTAGAATTTATGTAATTTAACAGAAATGTCTTTCGCAATTTCATTAAAACGTTCACAAATGAACTCAAGAACATCAAAACGTCAAGAAAAATAAAAATCTTTTTGATGCACTCTTTATTCGTGTGTATTTTCATTTGTGCACGTGTTTTCATATTTGTTCGATGATCTATTGGGGGATTCCCCTACATGTGACACATGCGGTTTATGCAAATCTAAAAACTAAACATCAGTGTTTTGACAGCCCACGAAATCCGATTCAACTCGATGGAAACGCAGCTATTTCAGTTTCCATATTCGTAGGGTAAAAAACTAAATTCGATGTTAGACTTGCTTTTTATGTAAAATAGTAAAAATCTCTAAACTGAATTTCAAGAAAATACGACGTTTTATGGAGAAACAGGCTATCGACTTCTGGATGTCATGGCTTCCACTTCGCCTTCCTTTTATTGAAGCATTTGTTTTCAAGACCCTGGAATTCTTTCATACAGTACCACATTCTCTTCAGAGTCAAACAAAGAGTGCTTTGCCTTTAGGATTCAGACATAAAATTCAGTGAATTCGAAAACATTAAACATTGGGCATGGAACTAGACAGTGCGAGGTTCTCGCTATCGATTGAAAAACCAAGGTGTGATGGTAAAGACGACCAGCAGTCGAGCATCTCTCGCGATTTAGATACCACTGCTTCCAAACATCAAGATGTTGAATACTTAGTGGTAAAAATAACTTCGAAGTTGGCTCAAATTGGGCGAAATGCTTCTATAATCTTCAACGAAAATGAAATTCAACCWCAGAGTAGTCATTTGATGCTTGGAGACAGCGACGAAACGAGAAGCACAGACGAAAACAATGATGGGTTAGTAGTCTGAAAATATAACACACYGCCACGAAATTCATCGAAAATTTGATTAGTAAGAATGATAAGAAGGAATACCAGCTAGGATAAGCATTTCTGGATACAGCCTTCACATTTCAGAGAACATWAGACTTGAAAAACCACAATTATTTAGTTTTGACGTTTGGCATTCGCAGTAAACGTGAATCTAAAAACTCTCGAATTCATTATGCAAATTTCCCTGTGTTAATTCGACTTTTCTCARTGTGGAAAATTTTAACTTGGTGACAAAAAGAGTTTTTCTATAGTTTGCTAAGGTTCATTTTAAAAACACAAACTAAATTTGATACAACACACTGACGTCACCAATTTTTGAATCCAATTTTTGCTAACTCGCAAGAAAGGGACAGGAAGCCCGAAAAAAAGGAGAGGTTGCGAACGAGACTATACCTCACAAAGCTTGTTATTTTTCTTGCTATCGAGAGATCATCGGACCTAGGGCCCGGCGATAGGGATCTATTCACTTAACTGCGCTCTTCTCTAATTTACTGATTTTATTTCTCGGCTTTACATGTAGAGTTCTTATTMTTTAGGTTCACTGTAAAACCAAGAAGGAAAAGAAAAACAAACTCGAAATCTTCCCAATCTACAGATTTAGTCGTCCACAAAAAACTATCGCCAGCCGAACCTCCCAAATCATACTTTGAATTGTACGAAATTTCCAAYGATGTCACGGTTAAKGTACAAAAGCTGCGTGACAATGGACGATGGGATTTGTTTGAAGAYATGGCTGTCACGATGTCACGCAAATACACGAGCTTCGAYGCACAAATCGTGTTGCTTTATGAAAGGGCAATGGCGGCATGTTATAACAATCGTCTAGAAGAAGCCAGGAAGATGATAAAATCTGGAATAAAAATGGCAAGTAGTTCTGAAAACGCTGGTGTTCTTGTTGGTAAGTTGTTTTTGTTTTAAGTTTAAAAACAGTGGTTTCCGAACACTATTTTCACACGTACAAAAACTGAATCGCCATCTTTCAGAATCTTTGGGTTTTTTTTTAATTCTTTCTGAATCTTTGATTTTGCAACGGTTCTCATGTGGGCTGTAGACCTAATCGGCCAATGTGTTGGCATGTACGTTACCACCAATTCAAATCATGTTGGAAAAAAAGACCTTTTGATTCTAAGAATTCAACTGTGAAATGAAAATACAACGAACTCTAAAACTTACTCCCKGGTGGTTTTAATAGGTGGAAACGTTTACAGCAACGCGTACGTTATCCGATTCGGTCTAACGATTTCTTTAATTYAAAAAATACATCCTTTACTCTTATTTCTAAAAAATTCAACAATGAATTCATTGTATTCCAGGAAGAGGGTTGTACTACCTTTCAGCTGTTTACCGTAGAGAGCACAAGACTGGCAAAGCAGTTGATTGTGTCACGATGGCCGAACAAAGCTTCTCTAAATATGGTATCATGACTGACAGATGCGCTCTGACGTATGAACGAGCTAGTGCCCTAATGGACTTCATACTGCAGTGCCCACAACCTAAACCAGCCCTTCTAGGGGAAGTCATGTCAAGTCTGAAACAAGCTATTGACGAATGCCTGGTWTTGTTGGACAAAGACGAACCAAATTTTTACGTGAAAACCCATCACTATTCATTTATCAAGATGGCGATGCTTCTTCTTGATTGTCGCAACTCAGTCGGTAAGACACACTTTTTATATCATAGACTTTGTGGCAGCCTTTACCTGCTGCTCTCCTTCGTACATCGGCCTCTGTTAAATCTCCGCCTCTCTGTTCGCTGTAGCAGTTCTCGATTCTGACCCCCATTCTTTCTACTATTATTCAATGGTCTCGGCGGGTTGTCTTTGGCCTTCATCCCCGTCTTCCCCCCTCTAGTCGCCTTTAAGTGGAGATCATATACAACGGGCTTCAAGAGTGAGAATCCCTTTCAATGATATTATTATTATTATCAAAGTAATAACCTGTCGCAAAACGTTTTTGAATTGGATGAGTTCCCTCTTTGAAATCGTGCGAATGTGACGTCTACTAAGGAATCGGCTMTCACCTTTCAAAGTAAATGGTGGAGATTCGAAGGTATTAATTTCTGTCAACTTTCAACAATTCTTAGTTGATACATCAAGCGATGTGAGAACTTTAGTTCCTTAGCAGACGTCACACTTGGCTTGACCCAGGGCCCTATGACAATTCGCGACCATTTCGGAATTATCAAAAATTTCAYAACTTTAGTTTCACATAAAAACGGCTTTCACGAACGCACCAAACATATATTTTTCCATGGYTGTTTCCCCCAAGTTTAGACTAAGATAGAGTTCATTTATTCTTTAAATATAGAACGTTAAAAGTCAATGTATTTTACGTGTTATTAAATGTGTCATCATAACCTTTAGGACGGGAAAGAACTGTAAAGAAGGAGAGCATCGACGAAGCTGAAGGACTTTTAAGAACCTTGAAGGACAAATATTGGGACAAGACATCKCGAGGTGAACAAATACAGTACTATTTCGGTCAAGCTGATTTGAACTTTCGCAGAGCTCGGTACCAGAAGGCTGAGGAATTCGCTTTGAAAGCTTTAGAAATGGCGGAGTTGTTTGAATTCAATACTGAGATAAGACTTGCGCAGGAGAGTTTGGACGACATCAGATCCGCTTGGTATCAACATGATTTGTCAATAGAATCACGTGACAGCAAGAATGATCCAATGCCTTCGACAGATGGTCACGTGACTGATATCAGCGCTTCATCGGACTCTGATTGGCTGATTCAACCACCTATTTAACTTCTAGTCAGTCTAGTCATCACGTGACTGTAAAAATGATCCAATGCCTTTGACAGATGGTCACGTGACTAATATTAGTGCTTCACCAGACTCTGATTGGCTGATTCAACCACCTATTTAACCTCTAGTCAGTCTTGTCATTACCTCAGATGTCAAGCATTTTCACCTGATACCAAAATTGTAAAATTATTTTACAAATGTATATAGGCCGTATTTATTACGTAGAAAATAAGGCTGCTGTTATTGCTGTTGACCAAGAAACAAGGGCTTTCGGTTCTCAGTTTGCCGAAATGCTTGTGAGCTCAAAACCTCTGTCTAAAGATTCCATGTTATGTAATATGAATGGTACTTATAGATTTGGGGCTAAATACATCTTGAAAAGGGGCCATCTTGAAAAGTGAGACCTGAATCAATGTTGTGCCTTAGAACACATTTCGTAGTTGCTAAGTCATCTAATCTATCATCATATCGTATTATATTAACTTGACATTAGCTTAGAACCTCTTAATTACTTTAGGAGTTATGATTTAGAGACTCGGGTCCCACTTTTCAAGATGGCGGATTGTTCTCCGAAAGTACTGATGCATGTATACAATCATTCGTTATAAGCTCTCATTAATAAGCCCTCAAAATGATAGATACCTGTGAATAATTGTCTGTCGGTGTGAAAAAAGGTTTCTATCATTGCACGCTCAACGGTCGTCTCGCTTCTATGAAAAGCCACGGCTACCTTTCAAGATGGCGCAGGGAACCGAGAAGACTATTTTAATGACTAACGAATACTACTTGCTTGCATTTCCAGTTTTTTTATTTCTCGGTTTAGCTGCCGTTGCTCTACAAGAATACAGGTTACTTAACTAATAATATACATTAGAKGCCCTTTGGGCAAACTAAAATTCACAAGTTTAATTTAAAAGGTATAACCAGATATTTCAACATTTTAAAGTTTACCAAATAGTCCTATACAGAATTGAAGAAGATATAAACTATTGTTAGCGCATACTGTTGCACTTGGCAAAACGTTGTAGGGTGGAAGAAGTTAAATCATAGAAKCTAAGGCCGAAAGGGAGAATGGGAAGGTGGAAATGACGTGTATTCTTGGGTTGCAATTGCATGACAAAAATTCCAATCAGTAAAAAAGAGAGCAAAACTAACGCCACAATGTTGGATGAATAGACAAGAGAAACTGAGGAAATTCTCGTCTTCTTCATCCAATATGGCGGCTATGACGTAGCATAACTCTTACATGATCAAGATTCCTTGGAGAAATAAAAAACAATGCTATCGCCGTCATCTCGGAGGGATAAATAAGAGAAAACAAGGAATACTTTATCTTCATCCAATATGGCGACTATGACGTAACGTGCAACCCGAGGATACTTTCAAAAAATAATAATGCTCTAAGGTGGGTGATTGCTTTTTTTCCATAAACTAAATAAGGTGTATTAGTTTCATTAAGAAGAAATGAAATATATTGTGAATTACATTACGTCCACTGAAAAAAACACTCAATGAATAATATATGTCCCATTACATGGTTGTAATAAAAGTGCTGATTTAAATAAAGCGGTTTATTGCTCCCAAGAAAGCCTTATAATAAYGTTAAAGTAGATATATAAGTTAGTGGTGCAACTAGCCAATCATGTGGTCGTTTCTTTGAATGTTATACACAATACTTTATATGAATATTGTTGCTTTTTCTTAGGCGATAAAACAACACTATGTATCCATGTGAATGATTTTGATTTTTGACTTTGCCCCATAACACGAAATCCGGCTTCCGCGGAAGAGGAATCCGGAATCCACATTAGTGTTTCCTAACAGTCGAGTCACAAACGACAAATAAAGCTAGGATGCTTTGCACTCTGAATCCAATATGGTGGAACCAGAATGCTTGCAACATTTTTCATGGGATCCGGAATCCAAGAACGCTCTGGATTCCGTGTCATCAATAGGGCGATATTTTAGAAGAATTCACAATATAGCCTAATAATATATAATAACGCCAGCCTTGTTTCCAGGCGTTCCTCGCATCTGAGCGCTCGTCAAGGAACGCCTCTAGAGGTACTATGCTGCAAAATACACCCGTTTTCAAAAATGTGACCTGTTTGAAAGCAGTGAGTATTGACAAATTTGGTCACAAGTAACAAAAGAACATCCTCATTTTAACATTGTCATTTTCAAAGCTGAAATTTTTACTCATTTGGAAGTGAATATTTTACCTTGAAAGCTCGCCAAGGCTTCACTTTAAAACTGAATTTCAAATTAGGCAACGCTTTTGAAAACAGATGTACTGAATGCTTGAAACTGGCTCGTAAATCACACTTATATTTCATTTTTTCACTCTTAAATGTCATCCTGATTTTCAGCCGTGAGTTGGTTCTTAAGGGAAGCAAAGTTTTGAACACGGACAGACACATGAAGCAGAGGAAATAAAGAAGCAGAATTAGAAATGAAGGTAATTTCACGATTTTTATGCCGAATATTCTCCATTGAACGTGCTTGTATAGATGAGTTAAGAATGGACGATGGTTTTACCCTCCCTTCCCCCAGTGAAAGTGAAGTGTTTATCTTACAAACATCWATCATAAAAGTTATTTTTAAGCCTTTTTGTGAAGACTGGCAGCCATCTCTTGTCTTCTTTCTTCTATTCTCGCCATTGCAGAATGTACTCGAAAACTTAGTCTATTTTCAAAGTCGTAGCCACTGTAGTGATCCTGTACGAAACATAAATAGAGGCTATTACATGGACGAGCGGAGATATAGAGGATATATTACACAGTGGAGATACGCATTTTCTTTGAGTGTTGGAAAAATATCTGTAATGTTATGTTTATCATACAATTATCCTTCAAAGGATTATGTTAATTTAAACATTATATAGACGATAAATATAAGTATTTTATCGTGGGTACTAGCGGTAAACTAGTGTGAGCTGCGTCGGTGTTTCTAAAGAAACAKTTGTGTAAAAAGATAAATTTAACACCGTAAAAAAGTAGGTGAAATAACTTGCTGACGTTTTGGACGTTAATCCTTCATCGGAATAAAGAAGAACGAAACGTCAGTAAGTTATTTCCCCTACTTTTTTACGGTGTTAAATTTATCTTTTTACAAAAGTATTTTATGGGTAAATTTTGTGATAATGAACAGCAGTATCCAACAAACTATGGRCAATCACAAACCCTGCATTCTGATTTGCTACTGGACTATGGGCCTATTCATGACATACCATTGTCGCATCAAATGAAGGAAAAGATATTGAGTGAAATTGTTCTTAAATGGTCTTGAGTTAGATTTGCCTAGCTATAGTTTGACGGGTACTAAAATAAGTCCGAATGGACTCTCAACACGTAGTTCACGAGATCGAGTGTTTGGGTATAGTTTAGTTATTCAAGGAAACATCCATCTTACCTTGACTCGTCTTAGTAATTCCTCTCCCTTGTCGCTTGTCTAAATACAATAAATAATMATGAGCGTATGAACCACAGCCACAAAAAAATCCTGAGTAATAAYTCTTAGTGCAGTTTCACCAACAACCATGACAAATAAATCTACACAGATGGCTATACCCACCCTGGTATCTTGTGCATACAGTACTCCAAGCTCATACGTTGCAAACGGAGGAACATGTGAATCAGGGGGGGATCTCCCTGACTTATAAATAGCTTCTTGAAAATACTAAACACAGAAATGAAATTTTAAATTTTACATCAGCAATATTAAGATTTATCGATTTATTAGTACATWAACTCATGTTTTGGCCTCGAAAATATACAGCGAATTCGTCTGGTTTGATTTTTGGGCCAAAAGATTTTTGTTAATATTGACTCAAATTCGGTTTGGTCGCTTAAGTTTGTTTCAGCTTTATTTTGTTGTTGCGTGCATATATTAAATTTCTTTCTAGTATTAGTCGTTTTATGGCCTTTGTTACCAATAGGCAATGTGCAGCGACGCCATTTTGTCAAAAAAAAATGATGGGACTTTTAATCCTCACACTTCTTTATACACCGATGTCAATAAAATGGCTGCCTCTCGGAGGGAGAATGGGGCGAGCACCAAAGCGAGGCACTTTAGGATGCCGCAGCAGAGAGCATAAACATGGCCTCGCGATCAAATATACATTGTTACTTTCCTCTCTGTAACCAACAGTCTATCTTAAGCGTTTTTTCATTTTACTTAAAAATAATAATACTAGTTTTGCAGCTTTTATATGTAACTAAAACATTTTAAAGGCATTTAGGGATATTTAGGGGCTATAAAAAACTACGAGGACTACAACTCCCATCATGCTTTGCTTCACATTGATAGCACACTCTCCATTCTTACCTTGACAGCTAAGTCATTATTCTTTAATATTTGATTGACAGACCCTATCATAAGCGTTTTAAGTGGTATTAGATTTGGACTAGGATTACACTCTTGCATATCTGTAAGAACAATAATAAAGCGAAATCTTACACAACCTTCAAAAGATACCAGGTAAACTCTTGTGCGAAGAAGAGATATCTTCAAAATGTAAAAGTAAATTGTTACCATAAGAGCTCCGTACCAACGCAGGCTTGAATGTGCTTTGAGTTTATGGAAATTACTAGAGCTAGTGCTAGAGGTATCTAATCGATTCTGTACCACATAGCTAGTTTTTTGTGCACCATGTTTGTAGCCAATCGTTTTATGCAAAACCCGTTTTTCTTGGTACAAAAAGACACACCCAAAGGCGATGCTTTGAGCAGACGTTTTACCACTGTAGTAAAAGTCTCCTTCGCGGTTACCTGCACCATCTTGAAAGGTAGCCATGTCTTTACATCGAAGCGAGACAACCGTTGAGCGTGCAATGATAGATACCTGTGAATAATTGTTTGTAGGTGTGAAAGAAGGTTTCTATCACCGCACGCTCAACGGTCGTGTCGCTTGGATGTAAAGTCACAGCTACCTTTAAGATAGCCTGCTAACAGGCGTTCCTGCTGGGGGGCGAGAATTCTCTCTCGGCCTCCCAGCAGGAACGCCTGTTAGCAGGCTACCATTAAGATGGCACAGGGAACCGTGAAGACTATTAATACATTGTAAACAGAACATGACACTCAATTTATCTCTAAAACTTTACCTTTAAGCATCTTATGTAGRACAGTTTCAGTGCATGTGTAAAATGCCCGCCATACATACAACAATTCTAAAGCAAGCAACAGACAGTCATCYTCTGAAGGCTCAACTTTTTTATACTGGGCAGCCTGAGGTGACATAAAAACAAATCAATCATCAAATTCTTAAAAAAATCAATAATCAATCAATCATACGTGTGTATAAACGTCCGGCAGCGTAACGGAGTGATAACACAAAAAAGGAAAAAAAAAATCGATTGCTTGACGTTTAGTTTTTTGATCACTACGTCAGGCTGACTGACGTTTAGACCCTCCGTCTCCTTCATGGTTACCTGCGCCATCTTGAAAGGTAGCCGCTCCTTTGCATCGAAGCGAGACGACCGTTGAGCGTGCAATGATAGAGCGGATTTCGTATGAGTGGGACACCATTACCGCACGGTTACCGCACAGTTACCGGACCTGGCCTGCACAATTTTGGTGAACCAATGRGGCACTAAAATTTGGTTACAGTACGATTACRGTCACAGTACAGTACCGTCCGTTTCCCACTCATACGAAATCCGCTCTAGAAACTTTCTTTCACACCTACAGACAATTATTCATAGGTATCTATCATTGCACGCTCAACGGTTGTCTCGCTTTGATGTAAAGGCATGGCTACCTTTCAAGATGCACAGGTAACCATGAAGGAGACTATTATAAACCATCCATTATTAGCCAATTAATCACAAGGGCGGTGAATGTAAGTAGTATAGTGTGCATGGAATTGACCTCAGTTACTATCAAGTTATGTTGCTTACCCTTCTACAGAGGAACTCCTCCAGGGGAGTCTTCTTTTTTGTCAATTTAAGAACTGATTTAAACTGTGAATGTGCTTCCGTTGAACTGCCAAGCAATCCAACAGTTACTGAAAAGAGAAACAATCATAACGAATTAAAAAAAAGTGTTTAAAAACTAATTCTTGAAGTATGAGGCCTTACTTCCACAAAGATAAGCATAGTAGCCTTGTGACCATTTGGACTCTTCTTTTAATCTACAAAAATATAGTGTTAATTCTTTTACAGTAATGGTTCATAGACATTTTAGCTAGAGATGGATAACAAAATTTTAAGGGGGAGGGGGGACATCTTAAATTTTGYCTTGTCTAAATCTGAATATTCTGCTTCAYGGTTACCTGCGCCATCTTGAAGGTAGCCGTGCCTTTACATCGAAGCGAGACAACTGTTGAGCGTGCAATGATAGATACCTGTGAATAATTGTCTGTAGGTGTGAAAGAAGGTTTCTATCATTRCACAYTCAAYGGTCGTCTYGCTTYGATGCAMAGGCACGGCTAYCTTTCAAGATGGCRCAGGYAACCGTGAAGGAGACTATTGTGTACCCCTGCAAGTTAAAAAAAYACAACATGTAACTTTACCTGAAGAATGATGGTAATGCATAATCCCATTCTAACTGTAACAAATGACACCAACCTAGTGCATGACAATTTAGATATGAATAACCTTGCATAATGATATGTTAAGCATYTTTCCAAGCCCTTTGTACATCCTTATATCTGCTTTCACATTTAGTAGAAATTTTATGAACTGTTCATGACAAGTTCAGTTTGACAAGTAAGTTCAGTTTGACAAGTCAGTTCAGTTTGTTGAGGGGCTAGTAATCAAGGACATCTTTCTTTCTTCTCAGACRTGAGGACAATAGATCAATAGACAACTAGAAGTATTGCTACTTTGCTTCAATTAACTATAGTCCACAGGATTGTCTTTATACACACCTATTTCATACTGACATATAAGGGCAATTTCAGTTTGTTCTGCAGCAGCTGTCATTGCCTGATGAAACTCTTGTAGAGCCTGGCCAACATTACCCTGAAAACAGGCATCTTCATATCAGATTGTAGTTTTTATCAACTCATTTCAACAATAACCAAAAAGATATTCTTTATTTCTAAGTACAACAGATCCCATAATGTGGGGGCGTATTCATTTTGGCAATTAATTAAYTTAAGTTATAACATACTTTGAGCCTAGATACCAGTCCTCTAAAGAATAAAAACACCGCTGATGATGGGTATTCCTGGGAAGATTCTTCTAACATTTCAGTTGCTTTTTTAAGTCCTATAAAAACAAAGAAATGCCAACATCAAGGTATAATTTCCTTGAAATATTCTTAATGATATTTTCCTAATATATTTAATTTAATTTAATTTAATTGTATTTTGTACTTTTCTAATTTGTGAAAAGTAAATTACCAGTGTGTCCTCTCCTTAGTACAGTTTTTCACCTTTTCTTACAGGTGGATTGACATCTTATGATTTTCCATGGCGACTTGTAGTCTATGATTGTAGGATTTTGAGCCGTGGTCCAAAATCCTACTACAATTTGTAGGTTGTGTACGACTGTTGTAGGCAAGTCATAGGGGCATCTACATGGCATGATTTGAGTCATATACTACAAGTCAAATTACGACAACCGTACCATGTAAATTGGCTTTGAAATATTTCTTAATCCATTCACATATAGTTGAACTTGAAATTAATGACATTATTATAATCATGCAATTGTCATACCTTCTTCATTATTGCCCTCATCAAGAGCAATAAATGGTCGTATCACWGAATGATACCACAATAATGTTAACCTGAAAAAAACAGGCTTTCATTAGCTATTATCATCAAAATTCTCACTTAAAAATACATTGCTTTTTTAAGATGTCTGTTTGCCTGCACATCAACCAATCCAGACAAAAGATGCAACAAGCAGTAAATAGTGCCATTAGTCAATAAAAGACCTCTTGTCTTAATGTTGGTTGGTTAAAATACAATGTTGATTTTTTGATTGACAGCTGTCAATTCCACATCACTTCTTTTGAGTAATCTGATGGTCAGGTGGCAATGCAAATAAGGATTTCTACAAAATCAAATTGCATACTAGTATGATGTGAAGATTAATCAAATTAGGACTATCACAAGTACCTTGCCACAGGGGCTTTCATATCTTCACTTTGACTAGCAATGTCTAATGCCTGMAGACCGACATCMCGGTTGCCCGAAAACCCCAGTAAATGGCAAAACTTTAACAACTTKGGAGGYACYAATGATATTGCAAGATGAAACAAYCCRTAACCACARGACACGGCAGCCTGAAGATGTCGCAGCGCATCAGGAGATACAGAAGGTGACTTTCTTGACAGAGATGGACTTCCATCTAAATTTGCTAGCATGTCGTCATCTTCTGTCTGTTGTAAAACATTAGCTCATGTTGGTTAATTATTCTAAAATATTACATCCAAGGCAATTGCAATGCAAAAGCATTCAGGACATAACAAGCCCTGACAGTGACCACTCTTAGTGATTCACATCCTCATTCTCTAAATCTCTCTGTCTTTAGTTCCACAGGTAGTTTGTTGCTTTGCCCAGACAAAGGCAAAGCTAACAAACTAAACTACTTTTTATAGAGAATCCATCTCATGAAATGCACTGTGCAAAATGGAAATAGCACATATTTACACTAAATCTGCAACTGAAGCAAAATATCCTCCTCAATCATCATTGTTCTCTCTACACACTATTCTTTGTTATTAAGTTACATATACATCACAGGGGCCATCTTGGAGGAACTTCAAAGAAGGATTTCAAATTGGTATCTATCATTGAACACTCCTCCAACATGGCTGCCGGTCTTTTATCTTTTGAATCTCATGGTAATCGGTGAAAAACGATCAATTCATACAATAGTACAAAAAGGCTMAATACAATATGTACAAAAAGATTGTGCGTGTTCATACTAGTGGTAGAAACTAGCAGTACAGGTGAAACGATTTACAAACATAATTTGGATGAATCTTTTGTCAGAGTAAACAAAAATCATACTCAGTTTGTTAAGTAATATTAACTTTAAGATTTGTTTGGTATGTCAAAAACTAAATCAATCAAATAATAGAGTGCACGTCACATAAGCATGAAACAATTCTTAATATGTATTGCTAAATAAGATTTAGTTATCAACTAACTAAGAATTCAACAAAGCATAAACACAATGCCAATTATTTAAATTCCTTTGTAGCATTGTTCTCAATTCTTAGTTAGTTGATAACTAAATCTTATTTAGCACTACATAGTTAAGAATTGTTTCATGCTTATGTGACTTGCACTCTANCCTTTTATGTAATCAGTTACGCCTTTACAACAAAACATCAAACAATCATTTGTAAATAATCTACCAATTTCAAATAATGAAAAATATTTATTTTTTTAGGGGGGGGGGATGGGGATATATATTTTTTCATTTACTTTTTCATTTATTTAGTTATTGTTATCCCCAAGTATTTATTAAACATTTATTAGCATTTTTAGCATGTAATTATCTCTCCAATATTATTTTATTATCATCACATGTAAATACAGCCTTATAATAAATAGTATTATAGTAAGTGTAAAAGTGTGGTCACTGTTTATGTATTCGCATGTTTTTGTCTATTATAGTACTTAGTGGCAGCAGTTGTCTGGTATCAAGAAGCTAATCCATGGCRAGACAGAAGTTTGCAAATACATATTATCAGTGGCCACATTAYTATGCTTTATGACTCAGATAAAATCATAATTATCAACACTTATAATATACTATTACCTTGTTTAAGAAAAGTTAACAAGGCCATATATAATTCGGAATCAGCATAAAGAATCTGCCGCATGAGTCTYTCATCTTTGGCAATCCCAGACTTCTTGTTACTCTCAATGTAACATATTCTTTGTGCTCTTTTTAGGTTTTCTAAAGCTCTATCTAGTTGGTCATCTTCAAAGGTCAGGATGGCTTGCTGACAAATAAACAACCAGGTATTAATTTCCATAGTACTGTAGTAAGTAAAATTAGACTGGGCTATGGCAGGGCTCAAAATAACGGCCTGTCAAAGGATAATGTACTTTCAAATTCGCTAGATGACCGGCCAAATCGGGTTTTGAAAGGAAAAATTGACTAACAATTCCCAATTCGCTAAATAAATATTTTACAAGCCATTAAAATGCTTGCCGATTTTTTCTGAATAAAAAACCTATGAATTAAACAAAATTAATATTAACAGTATAATTTTATAAAGTTTTTGTCCTTTCAAAATTCGACATGACCTTCCAAAAATGAATTTGGAAGGACATCTTGTCATGCATATGCCTGGCTGTTATTTCAAACCTTGTATGGGAATTAAATAAATTTATTTAATAAGAATAAACTGCTCCACGCTAAATACCTAGTACTAATCTATGCTTTATTAGTATTGCTGCTTTTAAAAAGGCCAGTCAATAAAAATGATTTAAACAATGATAT